GTGCTTCTCACACAGTAGTTCCAACAATTAAATGAACTTATTTATAGATGGCACCAAGAGCTTGACAATTATGGGTTGCTAAATAAATGTTAATTTCTTTCACTTCCTTAATGAGATCAATTCAAGAAGTTCATGGTACATTCATTCATATTCCAAATCTACCCACTGTACAGATGAGCAAATTTTCAAAGTGGGATTTGATCTCAGGTCCACCTAAAGCTGAAGCCTCAGCTGTTTCCATTATGGTTGGCTTCCTTGCCAAGGGCACACAGGGTCGATGTGGCCAAACCCAATTAACACAGAAAGTCCTTATGGTTGCCCTCATAGTTATTTTAGGATGGGAGCTCCTCCTAATCTGTGGATTATTTGGTTCTAAATACATTTTGGTCCGTATCGTTTTTTTCTTTTGCATGCATTTACGTTTTTAAAAATAGGTATGTAGCCTAGAATAATTATAAAAGCGGATACTGCTTTCAATGAACCAGATAACATTGCCAATATTAAACTATTTTTGGCTAAAAAAAAAAATGTCAGTTTCATGTGGTTTAACCTAAATTTTAATTCTTACTGTGTGTCAGGCCCTATGCTAAGCATTTAAATACATTTAGCTTATTTAATTTGAATTCTCATTAATCCCCAGAACAAACTTGAAAAGTTGAGAATGTTACGGCTCACATTTTTACAGATGAGGAGCTCATGGTTAAGTTCAACTACCAAACCTCAAAGGGAAACCACCATATGCAAAATAACTAAATGTCTTATAGATGCTTTGGCTGAGAAATTCAGTTGTGATACATATGAAAACAAAGTGAAATAAAAAATGCCATTTCTTTACAATGGACATATTATTCAGATGAAGACTGTTTTCCTTCTAATCTTAAAATTCTTTATCATTATCTAGTTAACCTATCATCCATCTGCAGCTTTCAAAGTATCTGTAAAGTTAATTATTAATTAATAATTATAATTACAAATTATAATTTTGAGTCACTGTGATTGGTAGAATTAAATGCAAGGATATGGCTGTCAGAAAATTTACTGCAAAAGAAAATAAGTTCCTAAGTGATCCTTAAAAATATGTCTTTCCTTTCAAATTTTCTCCAGCAGTTCTGTTTTCCTTAGGATGCCATTTTACATTTGGGGAAAACTGAGACCAGCATTGACACACTTGACCTTTATTGACTAAATTTTAAATGTAAATTTTGTTTTTAGTAATTTTCCTTGCTTCTCCATGAAAATAATTTGTTTACAGGTAGCATCCTCACTAAGTCTGTAATATGCTTTTTAAGTGGTTTTAGAAAAATATTTCTGGAGGGGATACAAAATAATATTTTGATGACATAATTTGTTTTACTTCCCTGTAATTTCGTATAAACATACATAAAGCAATATTATAGCATATTAACTTTCTTATATGCGATTAAATTCTCATTAACATATTTTTAATGTTTTATAAAAAATATTTTAATACAAAGAAGTACAATTTCCTCATCTATTTTACCACCATTGCATTTTTTGTTTTAGATCATTTTCATTAAAATATCTTCTGTTTCCTAACCAAAAAAAAAAAAGTTAATTCTTTTTTTGGGGGGGTAAAGAAATAATTAGGTCATATTCTGTAATTGCTATTGGAACTATCTGGCTAGGTTGTATCTTGGCAAAAATAAAATCTAGGTTGGAACTAGAAAACTAAAGCCCTAGAAGATATTGTTACTAGACTTTCTGAGATTGTATCAAAATGTGGTATTGTCATTTTCTCTTCACAGTTATCTCTTTTACATTTATATTGAGAAAAACATATGCTTTTTTTTTCTGGATTTTTATTTAGTTTCCAAAAATGATTAAAATTCTACTTAAAACTCACAACACTATAAACCTATATTCCCTGTATACCTTACGTTAACATTTGCGTATTTATGTTCACTTTCTGTAATGGTAATGTGGACTGCCATTATGTATGTTTATCTTGTTGTTATAATTCCTTTTAATTCCTTGATTCTTTATGTGGAAGTTACATATTTGAGTTACAAATCTTTTTCATCTCATGAACCACGGGTAGGTGTAATAAGTGAAATTTTTTTTTTTTTTTTTTGAGAGGAAGTCTCACTCTGACACTAGGCTGGAGTGCAGTGACATAATCTTGGCTCACCACAACCTCTGCCTCCCTGGTTCAAGCGATTCTCCTGCCTCAGCCTCCTGAGTAGCCGGGATTACAGGCACACCCCACCATGCCCAGCTAATTTTTTATATTTTTAGTAGAGACAGCGTTTCACCATGTGGGCCAGGATGGTCTCGATCTCTTGACCTCATGATCCACCGGCCTTGGCTTCCCAAAGTCCTGGGATTACAGGTATGAGCCAGCATACCCGGCTATAAATGAAATTTCTAAAAATCACGTTCCCATAGTTCATATGTAACTGTTAGCTACACAGCCAGCAGTCGGCCTGGGATGGCTGCATTGTTGTGGGTATACAGCTGCTTCGATCACTCAGAAATAAGCACAGGAGGCGTCACTCCGTTGTTGTGCCGTGACTGTTGCACTTTCTTACCCTTTTTACCTGGATGGAGTTAAGGGCTGGTTTTGGGTCTCTGGATGTTAAACAGCAGAGGTAACTTTGGTGCTCACACACTGGCTTACCCCGGCACGTGTGCATGCAAGCTGCAGTCGCTGGCAGGATAGGTTTAAAATACTTCCATGCCATCGTTAGAGCTGAAATCAATAGTTCACTGTGGATTGTTGTTTATGAACTAGGTGTCGTTAAGCTCTCCAAAGAACAAGATGGTTCATAGGGTTTTCCAGAAACTTGACTTGCTGCTAAACTTTTCATGTTAAGAATAAAGGAAAGTCACAAAAAATCTTTTCTGGTGACTCAAATAATCCCTGGATACACTGGGAAGATGCATAAATATTAACACTCTGTTTGATTTTTACATTCAGGATCAATCTATATCTATTCCTATCTTTGAAAAGAATCCTTGCAAGTTTGGGAGATGTCCTGCTCACTGATCAAAAGGTAACATCTGCCTTCTGTAATAGCAATGCACAAGGAATGGAGGAAAATCTTTTTAAAGAAAATCGCAAAAAACAGAGCATTGAATTAATCTGGTTAGATTACTCAATATTATTAAAGAGTATTAAGGTTAGCCAAATAGGAAATTTAAATGTTTTCAAATTGTGTGTTATTTAAAACAAACATGGGGGTTGGGCACAGTGGCTCACACCTGTAATCCCGGCACTTTGGGAGGCTGAGAAGGGTGGATCACCTGAGGTTCAGGAGTTTGAGACCAGCCTGCTACCATGGTGAAACCCTGTCTCTACTGAAAAAAAAAAAAAAAAAATTAGCTGGGCCTGGTGGCAGTCACCTGTAATCCCAGCTACTCAAGAGGCTGAAGCAAGAGAATCACCTGAACCCAGGAGGTGGAGGTTGCAGTGAGCCGAGATCCTGCCATTGCAGTCCAGCCTGGGTGACAGAGCAAGACTTCATCTCAAAAAAAAAAAAAAAAGGCCCAGTGATAGTTTCCCATTACATTTCCTCCTCCATTCTGAACTTCTTGGGCTTTATTTTAGTGAAAAGGTTGTCCCATGAAGACTGTTAGACACTGGACTATGCTACTAAAAGAGTCTGGTCTTGACGTTTGCCAAAGTGTGGGAAGCGCTGGCTCTAGCCCGGCCCACCCCCCAGCCCCCCGGCTGTCCACACTGCTCTTCCTTTCCGTGTCTGTTGCCACCACCACGCTTAGTCCCTTCTGGTCTCCACAGTTACCTTCCTGTTGCAATAACCTCTCCACCGTCCTCTCCTGCCTTCTCTCTATCCCTTTAAATTCATCCTTTACGACTGCCTAATTAAACCTTTATTAGCTCAGCTCTCATTGCATTTCTCCACTGGGGAAAATCTTCAGAAATGTACCATTATCTGTTGAATAAATTTCAGCTTCCTTGCCCTGGCATTAAGCCCTGAGTGATGGGCTTCAAGCCAATTGTCTTCTAATCCTCCCTCCCAGTGACATCAGGCTCCAATTAAACCAAGAGTCAGGGCCTCCCCAGCTCCACATCTGCTCTTGGGTCCTTCCTGCTGGAGTCCCTTCCCCAGCTCTGCTTATGAAAATCTGTGAAGGTGCCTTGATGTCTGAATCATCAGAGTCAGAAGACTTTCGTCTTTTAAGCATGAGCAATGTTGATGCTTCTCTAGAGGCCCTTGACAAATCCCACGTTCTAAACTTATTGTGAAAATATCTCACTGACAAGAATTAGGCTCCTTGAAGAGGGGAACCATCTTAGAATCCTCTGTGGTGTCTGTCAACTCAGTTGATGTTCAAGAGGTGTTTGTTGGAAAAGGAATATGACTAGCTGCCTGAGGAGAGGGGCTGGCCCGCAGCCGTCTGGGGCTCCGGACATGCGAAATGCAGGTGCCCTAGGCCAGCTCTGGCGGGCAGAGGGGTCATCTCTCAGGGTGCCTTGCAGGCCAGCTCTGGAGGGCAGAGGGGTCATGCCACAGGGTGCCCTGCAGGTCAGCTCTGGCGGGCAGAGGGGTCATCTGGAGGCAGAGCAGAAACCTGAGAACCCAGACTCAGGGAGAGGTTGCTGGGTAGCCAGGCACTGAAGCCAGGAACACAGGGATTTGAGTTAAATGGTCAGGCCAGTGCCTCCCAGAAAGGAAATCCGCGTTCCGAGGCGTGGGAGAAAGCGTTTGCTTACAAACCTTTGACCAGGAAAGTGGAGGGCCACAGAGGCCAGGCCGAGGCTGAGAGGAGGCCCGGCCGACACAGCCCCTCCTCTCCCTGACCCGGACCTCAGGCTGAGCTCCTGCGTATCTGATTTCATTTAACTAATGGCATTTCTAACTGGCCATTGTGTGGAAGGCACTATCTTAAGTGCTCTCCAGTTGAGTCATGACACAATAATAGCGACAGTGCTAACAGGTGGAATGCGTTCCATTGCCAGGAGCTGAACTCTGCCTAAATGCATTATTCCATCTAATCTTAGTAACTCAACTCTGAGGCAGGCGCTATGATTAGCACCCTTACTTCAAGTTTAGGTGGTGGAGGCTTAGAGAAGTGAAGCGGTTTGCCCAAGTTCCAAAGGGTAAGTTGAGGCAGCCCCAGGTCCAGGGGTGGGGCAGGCCGCGGGCTCTCAGCCCCTGCTCGCCTTCTTCCTGTTGGCTCAGGCCCCTGAATTTTCACAGGCCACAGGGCAGCAGCACTTTTTAGATGTGGGTGCTGGTCAATATTCTCGGTCCCTTGGAAAATTCTCTCCTACAAAACAGGTTATGAATGTAACCCCATCCCCATTAAGACAGTTATTCAGTGATTGCTGTGTGTGTGCGTGTGCCTGGGTGCGCGCACACATGCACGCATGAGAATTAAGTGAATTCGGAGTTGGCATGGGGTAAGGATTAGCCGTGACTTGTGGGTGGTGGGTAATGTGAAGAGAACTGAGGGGTGCTGTGGTCAAGGTGGGGGATACAAGCGCCGGCCCCGCCCTGGCACCGGATCACCCTGTTGGCGCCCTGGTCTCCATTTCCTCACAGGTGAGGCAGGGCACAGGATACCTCCCTCCCGGATTGTACAGGGACAGCGTCACCACATGTGCTGCACGCAGCGAGGCTTTACCCGATGGATACGCTGTGATGGCCGGGGCTGGTATTTAGGCTGCCGCTATTAATAGGACGACATTGCAGAACTGGGTTCGTGAAAAGGCTTCCTTCACTTGCATTTCGTTCTATTTCAAATGTTGTCTTAAGTATTTAGAAAATTAAAAACATTTAGAAAGAAATATTGAGGGGGGGTCAATGAAAAAAAATAAGTTATTTACAAAAGAAAAACGGACCCAAGATTCATATGAGAACAATCAGTACTCTCAACTGTAATGTCACTAAGTGAAGCGATTTGGAAATAGGAAAAGGAACTGCATTGTGAAGACATCTCTGAACTGATTAGGTTCGAACGCATTGAATGCCAAATCAGGAGAACCAGTAAACTAAACCAAACAATGAGATCAAAGCATCAGCAAATACCATGGCCAAACTCAGCTCTGCTCATGTGGGCTAGATATCAGTGCATGGAATTCCAAATTTGCTGGTGTGGTTTCCAGCGACCAGTTCCAGCCTCCCATCTGCATGCCACAGTCTGGCATCTCGATGGCAGCTGGCTGACCTTGAGCCTGTCCTCGCTGATGGAGGGACTGCTTTTTATCACTGGGCTTCACCTTTGCTAGGCACAGCCTTCTGATCTCAATGTGGCAATTCACAGTTGATTCACAGACGAAGGGCAGCACCTGGGGAAGTCCCTCCTGAAGAACGTCCCATCCTAAATTCACGTGTATTTCTCTTTAGAGTGCATTCGACGATGTTTAGCTACACACACCCACGAAGTTGCAGTTATTTTAGATATTCTGTAGAACTAATTTATGTTCCCTGTATATTCTGGAAAGGTAATTGGGAAAAGCCATTCAGAAGTGTTGAGTGGTATACATGAGCAGTTATTTTGTAATAAAAATTTCTCTATGCATTATTTTTCTTAGATAATCAAGAACACATTTTATGCTTAAATTTCAGGCAAACTGATGCACAAAGTGAAGCAGCGTTATGAATTTGGCAATATGGAATTTTTAGTTTTATTAGTTCCCATTCAAAGGTATGACAGTAGCCAAACTCTTTTATACTCATTTAGAATTTCAAATGTAGGAGAATGCTAATAAGTGAATCTAATCCTGGTAATGATCCTGCATAACGGAGCTTATTCTCCTCTTTTTCAGGTGAGAAAACCAAGACCAGGAAACTGTAACAGGTAAGTCCCAAAACACGGAGCTGGCCCACTGGGCCATAGACCTGTCGGGCTCCTGCCACGGTGACGTCTGCCTTTAGTGACCACAGTTAAAGAATACCATGCACACGGAGCATCAGAAAAGAAGGGCAGTTCTCTATCACTGTCAAGTTTACAATTCTTGTGGCTGAAAGCTCAAGATAACTCTGAAGGTGAATTGGACGCCAGCCCCACTTCAAACGCCATTATTGCCCGGCGTTTCAAGCACACGAGGTGAAATTGCCATGAAGAAAACCCAAGAATCTTACTGAGATTCTGCAACTAGCCATTATCACAAGATAAATGTCTTTTCTGAAAAGCAACTAAAAAGATGATACAGAATGAGTGTCTGAATAATGTCTAAATTCTGTGGGGAACAGAAAAAAAAAGAACCTGCAGGCTTAGTCACTCCAAATCATTTCCTTAAATTTTAAGAAAACAGCAAAGCCAAATAAATATCTTCTTCTATGGTGTTTCTGCAATTGTAAGATTCTGAATGTGAGATTCTGAAAATCTCCAGGAACCTCCAGACCACAGAACCCTCAGCATGTCCACGGTCAGGTCACACTCACTTCTGAGGCTTCCCAACTGCACACGCCACACTCAGAGCAGCGTGTGTACCGGGTTTCTCATTCAGTTCTTGTTCTCCATTAAATGAATGGAAAATACTTTCATCCTTCTGGCAGGAGACTGGCTGCTGTTCTGTGTCTGGTGTTCTTTGCTCAAACACTTCCATTTTGAGTGTCAAAAGAATATTTGTGCAATGGTCAGGGCTCGGGGTGTCCATTTGGGGTGATCTAAGAGAAGGTCAGGATTGAAAATAAACATGTAAGAAATGTAGTGGCAATGCATCCCCAGAGCTGGCTCAGCTGTGACCCAGATCCTGCGGGCTGTGAGGGGCCTGGGTGGCCTCCCCAGGACAGGCTGAGCATGGCCACGTGTGTGGCCTGTGGGGACAAATGTGGGGGCAAAGGCTGCCAGGAAGGCTGAGGGTCCCCAGCTTCCCAGCTTGGGAAACTGGCTCTTCCTGGTGAGGGGTCCCTTTGTCTTTTGTAAGCACTGTGGGGACCAGGTTTCTAAAATGTTGTTCAGACTTTGCAAAGTGAAGGCGAGAGCATGCTGTCTTTTTGACCTGCAAGGAACACCAAAGCAAACGCGACCCCGGCATTAGCCTGCCATTTCTCTCCTCAGGGCCCTTGATTCTACAGCCTCACATTGTCCTGAAAAGTCACTTTTGTTTCCATGGCCACCAACCCATATGCACCAGACTTTTAAAAGTTAGGTGCGATTACTCATGTGCTATCTGCTCCATGGGAAAAATAATCAGATGGTCTTTGAGGCAGTACATACTCACACATTCATATATGTCCATGTACATATCTACACAAACGCATATCTATATATATGCAAGCATACATACATTCACATACATATCCATATACAAATACACACACATACACACCCCTACATATGCACACATCTACACACGTGTACACATAAACACACACATAAATACACACATGTACATACATACACGCGTGTACATAAACATCCATATACTTACCTACCACATATACATATTTATGTAGTTTTAAAGTAACCTGTTGTAGAAAGTTTCCCCTCAAAAAGCCTTTTGGGGAGCAGCGAGGGAGGATACGGAACTCAGTAAGGAGGCTGTTTCATTACAGAGGGCCGAGGCTCACATGAGGAGGTAGGAACCGTTGAACTGAGCATGGACACACTACCTATTCTCAAGATGGTCTTTGACAATAGGCCACTTTCTATGGCAGAAATTACGATCATATGGATTCTGCAAATTAGTTGCCAATTCTTGACTGAGTTAAAGTTTTTTTAAAATACTTTAAAAGGGGTTTAGATTAGTAGTGTGGTCTTTAAATAATGTTTTTGTGAAACTAGCTTTAGAAACCAAAATTTCATCTTTGTTTCTGCCTCTCTGATATTTTACACAGAATATTGTTTTATTACTATCTGTGTTATTATGTGCAGTAAACATAAATGTCCCACTTTATGTATCAATAATAAAATATGCATTATTTTCCTAAAAACGGCAGTACACACTGCTATTTCCTGACAATAAATATTTATGGACAACTCACGCCAGTTTTATCATCCATACCAATTGTAACAGATGTGAGCTCATCATTCAGTCTGGAAGGTTTTGTAAACCACTGAATAACGAACTCCCATCCATTCCGAAAGACATGGACTATAAAATAGTATGAATTGTCAGTAAACAGTTATTCTGATGAAATATTCCATTCACCCCTCCACTTGCATAAAGATAGCTCACGCTCCAAAATATGCATACTTTTATAGATGGAAGAATAATTTTTAAAAGTGATTTACATGACAGAACCATGCAATAGGGCATTTTCCTTCAAGTTCAAGAGGGAGGCAGATACAGGGAGCCTGTGTCACTGAAGGGATGGCGTGCTGAGTCATTCCGTTCCTTCCAGCAGCCTAGCTAAACAGTGAGGCTCCTTGCAGAGCTGACAGTGAAATCAAGCCGGCTGAGGCGCGTGCTTGTGCCTACTGTGGGCAATGGGCTTTGCTAGCTGCTGTCATCCACCTCAGAGGAATTTATAGCAGCACACGCGTCCGTGATAGCTCTGCTCCTCATGCAACAGGCATCGGAGCTGCTCTGCCTGTGCAGGAGCTGTGGTTATTGCTCCTTCCCCATTGCAGGCAGCGCATTCTCTTGGACTTCATTTCTGCTCTAGCTCTGCGCTGGGCCATCTTCCTAATTGCTTCTCTGGCAAATATCTCCCAGCCCTTTGGCTTCTCCCACCACGATGTGCATCAGAGACTAAAGATGTCAGGATTGGGCTAGGAGCGGAGGATACAGTGGCTGACAGAACAGAGCTGGTCCTTGACCTCATGGGAATTCGGTCTAGCAGGGAAGAGGAGTTTTAAATAGATCATCACTGCTACTGCGCTATGGGAGCTTAGACGGGAGATCTAGCCTGGACTGGGGCTGGCAGGGTCGGTGGGGGGGGCGGTGCTGCCTGAGTGGGGATTGGTCAGGAGCACAGGAGGGAGGAATCAGGAGGGAGACAGGGACATAAAGGATCACAGGCAAAGAGAAGGGTTTGTTCAAAGGCCCTGAGGTAGGGGACAGTCGGGTCTGTTCAGAAGCAGAGATGAGTCTGGCGGAGCTGCAGGCAGGGTGGGAAGAGGGGTGTCTGGGCGAGGCTGGACAAGCAGGCAGGATTCAGGTGATTACGGCCCTGAGATCCCCGGGATGGTGGTCACCTTATTCTAAGGGCCAAACAAGAGGCCAAGGACGGCTCAAACGGACCAGGACATGATTGATTTCGAGTCGAGGCTGCTGTTCGGACACTATTTGATGAGGGTGAAGGTCCATGGCTACTGCACCGTCCCAGGCAACGCAATGACAGAGGCTCGGTCTAGGGTGATAGAGGAATGAAGATGTATTTCGGAAAATCAAAAAACAGCTAGAACATGGTGTTAAACTTGGTAAAGTGAGGGAGAGGGACGCCCGGATTTCTGCCTGTGCAAAGGGATAGACAGCAACATTTTTAGCAGAGGCAATGGAGGAGGACAGAGACTTGAGGAGAGAAGGGCTGGAATTTGCCTTTGGACACATGAAGGCCAGGTCCCTCGGAGGCATCAGAGGGGAGGCGGTGGGTGGGGGAGCTCAAATACCATGGAGAGGCTGGAAGAGCAATTATATGATGTCATCTGTTACAATACTGGTTTTATTTCTGGCTTTGAAACATCTAGAATAAGATAGTTTAAAAAATTTAAAATAAAAACATCTAAAATAAAATAAGATTAATCTGTTAAATACACTATGAGCTTTAAGGAGCAATTTTCTAATAATCGCTCATATCTCCCAGTTCCTAGTTCAAGGCTATCTGCCAGACCACTGTTCTTCATCATGTGGGTAGAAGAAACAAACTCTGCGGGGACAGAGGGCAGTGATACAGGCTGGAACGGAAGATGACGCCCCTCTGAAGGAGCCGACAATCTGGGACTGAGCTCAGTACGTCCAGTGCCGCTGGCCCGGCCCGGGCTGGCAGCAAGCTCTCTGGCCCTTGGCTAGTTTTTATGCAAGATGGCAAGAGAGACAAGATAATTTTTTAGATAACTCACAGTTTTATCATCTTACAATTCTTTGGATTGCAATCATAAAAAATTCTGAATAAATCAATTTCTTAAAATCTTTTTTTTTTTTTTTTTTTTTTTTTTTTTTTTGTGATGGAGCTTTGCTCTTGTTGCCCAGGTTGGAGTGCAATGGCATGATTTCTGCTCTTGGGTTTGAGAGATTCTCCTGCCTCCCGAGTAGCTGGAATTAGCTGCAATTATAGGCATGCACTGGATGCCTGGCTAATTTTGTATTTTTTAGTAGAGACGGCGTTTCATCACATTGGTCAGATGGGACTCAAACTCCTGACCGCAAGTGATTCACCCGCCTCGTCCTCCCAAATGCTGGAATTACAGGCATGAGCCACTGCACCTGGCCCAAATTTGTTTTTATTAGAAAAACTGAATGCATTGTTTTATCAGTAATATTGTGTTTATGGCATCCTAATCTGAAAAATATAATTTTAATCAAATTGCATATCTATTTCTTTGTTCAGGTTGATCCCTGGTTTCCAAACTTTTTGGATATATAATTGCTGGTTACAAGTTAGAGGGTTGATTACTTCATTGCAATTTCCACATCTTTGAGTTAAACTCTTTTTAGGAATTATCAAGAGTGTTGTGTTCACGAATGGAAACTCAGACACTGAAATACACATCTGTCACCAACCAGAATCAGGAAAGTTCATGTCTGTCTCTCTTCATCGACACCACCCACATTTATAAACTAAGTGTATATTACAAATATCCTTTCAATTAACCTAAAAATTGATTTTGAGTTTTTCATGAAAATTATGCCATATAGTAATGTCCATAGATGCTTAAAGTGAATTTTAAATTATACAAATGCAAAAGACACAGAATGCCAAGAATCAGTGGTAAAAAACATTTAAGAGCTTCTTTTTTTAAATAAAACGATAATCACTAAAATGTACATATTTACACAAAATGTGTAAAATGCGTACCAGTGTCAGGTCAATGTAGCAATGGGTTCAAAGGCCTTCCTTGTAGAAGGGCTTGATGACTGAGCAATTTGGGGCCATGTGTTTGCAGAAAGAAATTGCTGCTTCCCATTGTTTTTTATGTCAAAAGAAAGTGAAGAAAAGTACACAACTGGATGGTATAAGTTTGTCATGGTGATATCCTAAACCTTTAAGATGAATTTCTTTTCTTTTTTTTTTTTTTGAGATGGAGTTTCACTCTTGTTGCCCAGACTGGAGCACAGGGGCGCAATCCCTGCTCACTTTAACCTCTGCCTCCCGGGTTCAAGTGATTTTCCTGCCTCAGCCTCCTGAGTAGGTGGCATTACAGGTGTGCACCACCACGCCCAGCTATTTTTTTGTATTTTTAGTAGAGATGGGGTTTCACCATGTTGGTCAGGATGGTCTCAAACTCCTGACCTCAAGGGATCTGCCCACTTTGGCCTCCCAAAGTGCTGGGATTACAGGCTTGAGCCACTGCATCTGGCCCAGATGAATTTCTTTTGATAAAAAGAAAAATGAATATTTTTATGGAGGGTAAATTAGAGACACAGGAGGTAGCTTTTCAGTCAAGACTTCTTGACCAAGGACTTCATTTAGATTTTCACTTTTTTCTCTAAGAGGACAGATTTGACCCATTAATTACTTGATGGGGTGGGAAATTTCCTTAAGTCTGTGTGTGTATTAAGATGAGTATAATTTGTATATCACCTCAAAGTCTTGACATACAATGAACATAACTATGGTGAAATTTTTCTTCTCTGGTGGCTCACTTTAAATGTCTTTATATTATCCAAATGCCTTATTCAATGAGGAAAAGAAAATTGCACTTCTCTTCAAGTGACCCAAACAAGAATTTAAAAAAATCTGAATATTCAAATTAATGCTTCTATTTCTATTGATTTAATCTACAATATCTTTAAACATTCTTGAAAAACTTGACCTGCTTCTTGTGCACTGTGATACTCATTTGATTTTATCTTGAACATTTAAGAGATTTTTATTTTAATAAGAAAGAAAAGAATGCTGTCAAGATATCGGCTAAAGTTAACTGAATTTGGAATGCATGACAAAATCGGGTGGGCCTCATTTCTTTTCCTATGATGTTAAAATACTAGTTCAAAAGGTTAGCTCAGTGTAGCCTGACTCACATACAATATATTTCAATTACATATTATTATTCTGTGAATTCTGTATTTTGCTTAGAACTGGTAATTATTGAATATGTTTAAATTTTGTCTTCAAAATGATAAATTGAAGGTTCATTTACTATAGATCTTCTTATAGATTTCTATTTCTGAAATTAAATGAAATTAAACGTGCACTATCTAGATTTCATATAGAAAAAAAAATTCATCTTGAGTTTTAGCTTTTGTTATTTTTTTAGCACTTGTGTGCCAGTGTTTTGATCTGCGTCACTGTCCAATGTATTTTATGTCGTGTTGCAAGCTTACCCTTTCTACGGTACAGCTCCAGCCGGGCTGGCTGCTGCTGCCCCACTCCCATCCCATGCAGACACCTTTGAGGACTGTGCTGAGGCAAAGTCTCAGATCTCTCCACAGGAGCCAAGGGCTTCCTCGATGGCAATGATCTGCTCTTCCTCACTCCTGAGGATGTTTTTCCCAGTAGCGTTGGGACCACCACTCCAGCCGAGTCCAGTAGTGCCTTGTATTTACCCACTTGTGCTTGCACTGGCTTCTGCACCTGGAGCATCCCCCCATCTCCAGATGTACAAATCCTACCCATCCTGCTCATCTCAGTTCAGATGATACCCTTTTCTTGATGTGACAGGAAGGAGCCTCTTCGATTTCCTCCTTGTGATTTTAACTCTACTTCTCATGACATCATTTCCTGCCATGAGTTGTGGTTTACATGCACTACAAACCAATATTTGTGTTCTCCAAATTCATATGTTGAAGTCCTAACCCCTAGTATGTCTGTATCTGGAGATAGGATCTCTAAGGAAGAAATTAAGGCCAATGGAGGTCAGATGATTTAATAGGATTCATGCTCTTACAAGGAGGCACCAGAGCTTGCTCCCTCTCTCTCCCTGTGCACATGTACCGAGGAAAGGCCATGTGAGTGCACAGTGAGAAGGTGGCCACCTGCAAGCCAGGAAAAGAGCCCTCACCACATGCTCAATTGGCCAATCCTTGATCTTGGGCTTCCTGTCTCCACACATGAGAGGTCATACATTTTTGTGGTTTCAGCCGCTCAGTCTCTGGTGTTTGGCTATGGTGGCCTGAGCAGACTAAGACAATATGGGACAGAGGGGAGCTTTCCATTTAGAATGAAGACCTTGAAATGAGTGCTCAGTGAACATTTGCCTTTGCTCGCCACACTGCCTGGTTCTGGGTGCCTATGGGGTAGTGTGCAGTATAACCCCTACCAGCTCAAGGTGCAGTGAAGTCAGGGCAAACCCCAAACTGTTGAGCAGCCCAGACAGACAGGGCCAGCTCAAGAGCCACACCTGGGGACCTGTGGCAGTGCCAGCGTAGGGGTGTGGAGTAGGATGTTCAGAGGAGGCACAGCTCAGGGCACGGCAGCAACAACATGGCTTCTGGAGGTGGCATAGTCACCCCCTAAAGTGATAAGCCCACATTCCACACTTAGAACATGAGCTGCTAGATTTGGGGGGATGGAGTGGAGAACAAGCAGAGGCCATACAGGGTGGAAGTGGGGTGGAACACATGGTGAAGGAAGGGACGGCTGGTCGGGTGGCAGCAGACCTGAGTGAGAACAACCCCTGCCTTCTAAAGGGAGGGCTGACTCAGAAGCTGCCAGTGCAAAGGACAAACCTCAGGAAAGAGCCACAGACCCCAAAACAAGGATGAGCAGTGCAGGCCTAGGGTGGATGCTCTCCTAGGTTGATTTGGGAAGATAATTCTTCTCAGGTAATTCAATAACAGAGGAATAATCTACCTTCATGGAGTTGACTCTCCTCTCAAGCAAGCTCTTTAAATTAGCTGGAAAATGTGACTCATTTGATAGTGAATAATTTGAAACAAAAGCCAGCATAGCACTGATATGATAAGAAAAAAAATACAGGAAAGAGTAGTGAAAATTACTTGAGAAAGGATATTCACACATACTCACAGAAACAATTGCCAAAAAATCTCTGACTAAATATTAAACATCCGATTGAATTCAATCTTAAAGACCCCTTAAAGGAAAGACACAAGATCTTGGGGACAGACAGCAAGACTACTGGGGGAAATGAAAAGCAAGTTGACAGCACTCAGAAAAGAATTAAGAAAAAATCATAGAAATGGTAATCAAATTGAAAAGAGCAAAGGAAGAATTGCACTAGGGAAAACTTCGTAAAGGTATAGACAATATAAATTAGAAAAAAGTAAGCAAAGTCAAATTGAAATAGGGAAGTTAAAATGATTGAAGATCTATTCAACATAGTATTGGAAGTCCTAGCCAGAGCAATAGACAAGATAAAGAAATAAAGGGCATCCAAAGTTGTAAAGAGGAAGTCGAACTGTTGCTGTTAGCTGATGATATGATCGTATACTTAGAAAGTCCTAAAGATTCATCCAAAAAGCTTCTAGAACTGGTAAATGAATTCAGCTAAGTTTCAAGATACAAAATTAATGTACACAAATCAATAGCTCTACTATATACCAACAGCGACGAAGCTGAGAATCAAATCAAGAACTCAATCCCTTTCACAAGAGCTGAAAAAAAAATTAAATATGTAGGAATACACCTAACCAAGGACATGAAGGACCTCTACAAGCAAAACTACAAAACACTGTTGAAAAAAAAAATCATAGATGATAACAAACGGAAACACATCCCATGTGCATGGATGGGTAGAATCAATATTGTGAAAATGATCATACTGCCAAAAGCAATTACAAATTCAATGCAACTCCCATCAAAACACCATCATCATTCTTCAAAGAACTAGAAAAATCAATCCTAAAATTCATATGAAATTTAAAAAGAGCCCAAATATGCAAAGCAAGAATAAGGGGGAAAAAAATAAATAAACCTGGAGACATCACATTACTTGACTTCAAACTGTACTATAAGGCCATAGTTACCAAAACAGCATGGTACTGGTATA